TGCATGCAAAATATTACCGACAACAGCCAATAAGGACTTTGGGATGGCGACTCGTACAAGAAAAACAAGAATTAAAATCAAGAAAAAAATACCCCAGCAGAATGAAGCAATGTAATATCTTAGTCAGGGTCGAGTAGGTATAGCCGTGTAATAAGATAATACATAGCAACTTTCAGCTGATACCATACGTTAAAACATCTACAAGAACTCTAGAAGCCTAAGTGTACCACGGAACTGAGTCCCATCACCCTAGCTCTATGCATATCAGTTCGCGACGCCACTCCTTCTGAGTTGGCTTTTAATCTGAGGGAGAGTAGTGACAAGTATACGGTATTTTAAGAGTTACAGCCCCTCCTACCAAAACATACTGGGGCTAAAGTAATTTGCCTTTTTTGACGTCGTGTAATGTTAACACGTCACTCACAGTGCCAAAAGGCGTTTTCTTATCGGTTCCCGCATATCAAGCGGAAATTAAATCAAAACTTCGATCACTAACTTATTATTATGGCTGAGAATGCATATATCCGGCCGAGACAACGAGACATACCTTGTCACGGTCGTAGATTCGTTACGAAGTTTGATTTTAGCCTCACAAAGTTTGGGAGCTCTTGCTGACTACATGAGAAAGTTTTGATGTTTTACACTCAATGAAACATATAAACAAACTGATTGGTTGTACAAAACTCTTCGTAAATCATGTAGTGGATTAGAACCACTAAATCCGAAAACCTCACACGAGCACCTATCATCATAGCCGGATGATGTTGTCGTGAGGGCCAATATATCAGGAGTATCGAAAGCTCGTCAAAGCGACCGTCACATCCTTCAAGATTCTCTACATTCCTTACAGGAAATCCGCAAAAGACAATATAATTCCAAGATCCCGGAAAATATACTGCCACCGCGACACCCCCATGATGGCTGCTAGAGCAATGTACCTCGGTTTCGCTCAGAACAAAGTCCAGACACCTGTGACATCATTGGCTTGAATATCTCTCTTGTCATGTATCGCAAGATATCATTGTTGGAATCGAAATAGACTGGGTTCGTACGACGAGGAATGAACCTTTAAGGAATCATACCCCATCGCTATAAGCAATTACAATGCCTTCGCTCAATCATGAAATAATCGTGAAGAGGCTCAACAACTATGTTTTCTGTAATGGCCACACCTAATTATTACGTGAAGGCTGATCTCTGTGGTACGCATCACATGCAACGTGCATTGCGGATACAAAAAACAGAGGGATTGTAGCACGACACATCCCATATGTACGTATGACATCATTGGTCGATGTCACGAGATTCCTCTGTACTCATCAGCACACTCTGTTGTTCATTCAGTAGAAGTAAAAGTAATTGTCATTCATGAAATCATTAAAACAGATTCATGGCTCTCGTGTACTTATCTAGTAAAAAATGAAGGTTGCTACTTGAAAATCTACACAGGAAATAGTTTTCGCTTGTTGCTTTATAAGAGAAACAAAGACAAAGACAATCATCTCAAAGAGGGCGAAGCGAACCATTCACTTTGCGTAAAACCTTTGACGAAGACGTCAGATTTATATTTTATGGAGTTCCTCTGGTTTCAACCTCAGTGTACCCAAGTCTGTATATGTCAAGCTCATCTGCTTTACTTCTGCATGCGTAGATTCGCTATATATAACCCTTTGAGGCTCGACTGTGTTACTCATGTAGCTTTGGAAACCAGAATCCTCGTATAGTTCAGTTGCAATTTCGCCGCGTCCTATTAAGCCTTCTCTCCACGCGATTACGTGCAGGCCGTGTCTGGGGCTGTCTCGGTCAGCCCCCAACATCTCTTGAGTTGCTTGCGAAGCGTAGCTCTATTTTATATTTTGATTTACCGTGTCGTGGTTGGATATTGTCGCTCTGGTTATGAGCTGAGCAATAATATGACCGACTCAGCAAATATCCGAACCGATCCCTGGCTGAATTGGTTTAAAGCTTGGCCTGGGACTGGGAGGTACCTGGTTCGATACCCATGGAATTCGAATCAAGAAGTTGGAGATAGGTCACTAACGTGGACGAGCAATCACATCTCTTTGGAGTGACCGCCCAGTCAGCCGCAGCCAATTGGGTGTGTGATAGTTGGGTGGAAGGAGGCCCTTCTGATTGAATAAGCCTCATAGTGTAATGAAGGTACGGAACCGGTCCCAAAATGGCTAGGAAAGGTACCAGCATCCCGCGGTCGAGAAAGCTTAATTCTAGCGTTTGGGGACCGGTAACATAAATATCTCAGCAAGTATCCGATGATTTTGCTCATTGACGTTCAAAGTGGATAGCCGAATGCTGGCTGATCTCTACATCAGTCCTAAAAAAAATTGTTATATGACACTCTACTGCTACAGGAGACTAGAGACGTTAAGATCCAACGGCGTAGTAAACGCTGATGTATCTTGATTATCTGCGTGACCTATTTAATGCAA